GGTCGATGTGTCTCCTTCAACTTTGTCCAAGCCTTATGGGTTGAGGAGGGGGAATGCCTCACGCATCTTCCCCTTTGCCGTCGCAAAAAAGAGTATGTGCGGCTTGCACCCACTAAGCCCCCACCCCGCCCCCTCGTCGTTGGCCGTGTTTCCACCTCGGAAAAGCTTTCGCATTACTTCGAGGTGGGGGAGGCCAGTTACGCGATTCGTAAAGCCATCGTTCTTTGCACATCCTGTAGAGGTTTTGTCCTGCAGGCTGTCTCAAGGGTTCCTGCCCAGATCTCGCATCCGTACAGCATGATTGCGTGGTTTATCTCCATTAGAAGCTTTCGTCTTGATGGTAATGGGCCGCCCACGTTGGCCATGTGTCTGCTAAGCGCCTTTGTAGTCTCGGTCGCTCTTTTCTTCGCCCCTTGTATGTGTGCACTAAATGTTAGTTTTGAGTCAATTTTTACTCCTAGGTACTTTATGACCTTCTGCGTCCTTATAACGTTTTCCCCTACTCTCATATCTATTTATAGGGGGATCCTTCTCCTGGTAGCTAACAATAGCTCCGTTTTTTCGTCCGCAAGTTTTAGATCGTGTGAGTTCAGCCATCTTTTTACACGTATCATTACTTGCGTCAGCTTGCGTTGTGCATACTCGGTATTCCGCGCTGTTATGACTGCGTCTATGTCGTCTGCGTATCCCACGATAGTCGTGACCTCTGGGATGTCAAGGTGGAAAATTTCGTTATAGCTGATGTTCCATAGCTCTGGTCCAAGTATTGATCCTTGTGCGGCTCCTGAGTTTATCTGCATGCATTTCTCCCCTGCTTTTGTTTGATACAGTAGTCGTCGGTTGTCAAGATAGTCCTGTATTATCCGCGTCAGGTATCCTGGGATTTGGAATCGTCTTTTCAGAGCATCAATTATGTTGTCCCATCTAACGCTGTTGAAGGCGTTTTTAACGTCCAGAGTGGCCAGGAGCACTACCGGTCTCGAGAAGTTGTTGCCCTGTTGGCTGCTGAGAGCTTGGTTCACGACTTCTTGGATTGCGCGAATGGTCGATCTTCCTGGTCTAAATCCATACTGCCTCGGGGAAAGACCCCCTCCTCTTTCGATCGCTGCTGCTAGTCGTGGCTTGACCAATTTCTCTAGTAGCTTCCCGGTTGCTTGTCAGGACCAACCGTTGCACCTTCCAAATGTCTGGGAATTTCCCGCTGGTAATGCACTCGTTATACATATCCAATAGGATATGGGGTCGGTTCTCCGCGATCGCTATTAGGACTTCTGCTGGAATGTTGTCGGGCCCTGGGGCCTTCTTCCTTTTTAAGGTTTTTGTCGCTTTCAGTAGCTCGTCCTCAGTGAAGAGCTCGATCTGGTGTTCGGCTATTGGTGGAGTAGTCCTTGCTATGCTATTTGTATGGGCGGGAAATAGTGCTTTGACTATTTGGTCCATTTGCTCTTCATCTAGATCCGGTGTTGGATTCCTTGTTCTGAGCTTCTTCATCACGATTTTATATCCGAGCCCCCATGGGTCACTATTGACATCGTTGCAGAGGCTTGTTCCGTTTTTTTATATTTGCGAAAAACCTAGCTGGCAGAACTCGGCTAATCTTGGTTTCGGATTGGATCAACTTTGGAAAAGAGAAAGTGCTGGAAATCATACCCAGCGAACAGGAAGTCAGTGCCAAAAATTAAAACTTGGAAGCACTCCACTTTACGTGTGTTTGTGTGCAATTATCTGGCTGTAATTCTTGGCACTTTGTATATTGGAAAACCAATTAAAGCCCACATATAAAACCTCCAAATAAACAAATAAAAAGTATACAACCTTTAATATCATTTTTTTGCAATTAAATTGTGAGAAAATTGATGTGCGTGCGGTACAGTTAAATACATACATATCTACATACATATATACCAGCGTTTTGCCGCCAAGTTCAATTCCCTTTTGTGCAGTGGCAGAGCAGTTATTTTTGAGCTATATACTCTATCAGTGGCTTTCAAAACGTACATAGTGGCATATCGGTTAATTTCGACAGCATATACTCTGTCAGTGGTTTTCAAACCGTATACAAAGTGAAATTCCTGCAAAACTCGGCAGTGAAATTAAACCCTCACATATTAATATATGTACATATGTATGTATTTACGAGCGACATTAATTGTGATACAGTTTCTGGCTTTGGCGGTGCACCTTTAACCCGTATGGGATCCACTTAAATGTTTTCGGACAGTTTATTTGTCAAATAAAATTCAACTTGGTGTTTAAATTCGGCGTTGGTTTTTTGGCATTATTAACCCTTATATAACCCAAATAAAATTTGGAGTACTTGCGAATTTATATTAATAAAATTTAATATTGGGGTATCGGCGGAATAGTATCAAGTGAATAATAATTACGGAATCATTTGCGAAAGTGATTTATTAAAACTTAGTGCCAATCATTTACATTTGGAGCATTTTTATTAATTCCCAATCAATTTCAAAATGGCTGAAAGAGAGTTAGCTGCAAAGCCAAATGCAAAACTTTTGATGGCTATGCAGAAACACGATATGGTTATGAGTGACATCGAGCGAATGAAAAGGGCATTTGAGGAAAGAACTATTTCATTCGACAAAATTCAAATGGAATATCGAATGCAACTTCTCGAATCGTACTGTAAAAAACTAATGGATATCCAGGCAGACATTGATATACTATACCCAGAAAATTATCTGAGAGCGTCGGTTGAGGATGCGTGTATTATCATAAAGGCATTGTATCGCTTCGCAATGGTAGAAGTTGAACATCAGAGAATTAGTCAAGGGTATTTCAGTGGTTATCGTCATTCATCGCAATTACCAAAAATTAATCTGTCTAAGTATAGTGGAAAACATTCAGACTACAAAAATTTTATAAGTCTATTCGAGAGTTTAGTTCATAACGATCCATCCCTTACAAAGGTAGAAAAGTTCAACCATTTGCTTACATGTCTAACAGGTGATGCATTAGGAACTGTAAAGGCGTTTCAAATTTCCGAGGTAAATTATGAGAAAGCATTGGCTAGCTTGAAAAACGAGTATGACAATAAATGTTTGATTTTTTTCGACACGATTTCTTAGTTATTTGATCTTCCTCAGGTATCGAAACCCTCTGCATCAGGCTTGAGGTCTCTTGTTGATGAAATATCGGCTCTGTATGCATTTTGCAGTCGTTGGGTAGTGATTTTTGTATTCACATAGCTATGTCCAAGGTAGATCACACCACGAAAATTCCGATTTGAGGAGCAGCTAGATTATAATAAGTTGCCAACATGGTCTGATTGTGCGATTCAGTTGAATCGGCGATACCAGCATTTAGCTGCTGAGGAATCAACTGAAAGTAAAGGAAAGCCTAGCCAAGGTTCGAATAAGGGATACTCAAAATCGTCATTCTCATGCACAAAAGCAGATCACAAACCTGATTCGAAATGTCAAAATTGCTCAGCGACGAATCATAATTTAGGTAGTTGCCAAGCCTTTATGGCTCTGTCCGTGATTCAGCGTTTTGATTTTACGAAACATAATCGGCTGTGCATAAATTGTTTAAATCCTGGTCATCCAGTTAAAAAATGCAAAGCAACAAAGTGTAGCGTCTGCTCTAAGCCTCATAACACACTTCTTCACAGATATGGGGTAGAGCAGAAACCTGTAGCTCAGAGATCAGGTTCTCAAGTGCAATCACAGTCGTTTCCGGTAGCATTTGATCATTTAAATTAAGCCCACTCATGTCATGTTGAGAGTAGCGACCAAGTGATTCTTGCCACTGCCGTCGTTAAGGTGCGGGATAGATTCGGACAGTTTCAATTAGCACGAGCTCTTTTAGATTCCGGGTCGCAAATAAACTTTATGGCCGAAGATTTGGCACAACGTTTGCGGTTACATAGGGAGGAGTCTTATTTGAATATTACTACTGTCGGGAAAAACGATTCGGTAGTGCGGCACAAGGTTCACACGTCAATTCACCCTCGCGTCAACGCTCATATTTTCACGACCGATTTTTGGGTGTTAAGGTTAATTTCATCATATCAGCCTGATTATGAAGTTAATTATGCCCAATGGAAGATTCCAGCAAACATTGAATTTGCACAGCAAAAGTGGATTTGCTGATTGGCGCAGAATCCTTTTTTGAACTTCTAAGCGTAGGCCAGATAAAATTGGGTTCCGAACATCCGTCCATTCAAAAAACATTATTAGGATCGATTGTGTCGGGAAAGTACACTCAACGCTTAGCGAGTCAAGCTCAAGTAGGCAGCGTCACTGTCAGTGAAAATATAAGTTCTCTAGACTCTCTGGTGGAACGATTTTGGGAATTCGAACAAGTCCCAGAGAGATCGAAGGCTGTTTACACATCTGAACAAGTTGCTTGCGAGAAGCATTTCGAGCACACAGTAAAAAGTCTTTCTTCAGGTCGTTTTGAGGTGAAGCTGCCATTTAAGACAAATCCAAGTATTCTAGGCTTATCCTTCGAAACGGCAAGACGCTGATTTCTTTCATTGGAGCGTAGACTTGCGAATAATTGCGAGTTGCAAGACATGTATCACGAGTTTATGAGAGAGTATCTTAACCTTGGGCATATGTCACTGCTTCCAACGCCTGCTCCAGGACAACACTATTATATTCCACATCAATATGTGCTGAGACCTGATAGTAGCAACACAAAGTTGCGAGTTATTTTTAATGCGTCAAGTAAAACGTCAACCTCGGTCTCATTAAATGAGACTATAAAGGTGGGTGCAACTATTCCTGACAGCAGATATTTCAAAGATGTATAAGCAAGTTAACGTTGCCAACGAAGACCGAAATTTCTAACTCATTTTGTGGAGGGAAAAATCGACTCAAGCTCTCCAAACCTTTCGCCTAAACACTGTCACTTATGGGACAGCCTCTGCTCCATTCTTGGCCATCCGTTGTCTCTTCGAGCTATCAAAAATTTACGCTAAATCACATCCGGTGGCATCAAAGGTAATTTCGAGCGACTTTTATGTTGACGATATGCTCACAGGAGCGCACAGTTTGGACGAGTTGGAAGTGATTCGCAAGGAAGTCACTGAGGTTTTGGAGTTAGGGGGTTTCCATCTAGCCAAATGGGCAACAAATCATCCAAGTTTGATGACTAACCAGGGACCAGAAAAATCGCCTATATTTAAAACTCGTGAGCCCGTTAAGACGCTTGGAATGAAGTGGAACCCACAGAATGACGCATTTCATTATAGCTTGGAGGATTCGTTTCAATCCTTACCTCCCACCAAACGCAACATTTTGTCCGTCACAGCTCGTTTGTTTGACCCCTTGGGGCTATTGTGTCCGTTGATCACAAGAGCAAAAATCTTGCTTCAGGAGCTTTGGCGACAAAAACTAGATTGGGATGAATCAGTTCCCATGAAATTCCATACAAGTTGAAACGAATTTAAGCAGAATTTATCAGAGATTGACAAGATATCCATTCCTCGATGTATCTGTCTGTCGGCCTATGACACTATTCAGATCCACGGATTTGCTGACGCATCGAGCCACGCCTACGGCTGTTGCATTTATGTTCGCACGGTGGCTGGGACAAATAGGTTGTCGAGACTGCTAACCGCCAAGTCACAAGTATCCCCGCTAAAAACAAAATCAATTCCAAGGTTCGAATTATGTGCAGCACATTTGCTTGCTAAGCTATGAAATCAAGTATCTCCGTTGCTACACAAGATAGAGTTGGAGAGCGTTAATTTTTGGTCGGATTCCCAGGTCACTCTGTACAGGTTAAAGAGGGATCCGTCTACTTTAGCAACGTTTGTCGCGAATAGAGTTGCTGAAATCCAAGAACTCTCAGAGAATATAGTCTGGCGTCATGTGCCTACGGACGAGAATCCGGCTGACTTAGTATCACGTAGAACAGATATAGAGGGTTTGAAGCGTACTCTATGGGAAAATGGACCTGAATTCTTACTGCGAAATCCAGACGAGTTGCCTAGTTCTCATCAAAAAACCAACCGAATGTTTTTATTGAACTTGTTAGACAATGTTCGTCATTTAATAAATTAATGCGGATCATGGCATCCGTAAATCGATTTGTTCAAGGGAAGAAGCGTCAACGCGATGTTGTTATTTCGGCCAACTAACTGAAGCTGTTGTTTCTTAGGATGGTCCAAGTCTAGCAAAGAGTTGAATTCGTGTCAGAATATGTCAAGATAGAGAAATCTGACAGTTTGAGTCACCATCTACAACGTCTAAATCCTTTCATACACTCCAGCGAAGTAGATGGTGTAAAGCTTCAACTAATTCGCGTTGGGGGGAGATTATTAAACGCGCAAATTCCGTATGATGCCAAATTTCCCCTGTTACTGCCATCGAAGACAGAATTTGTTTCGTTGTTTCTTCGCAACTTACATTGGACTTATTACCATGCTGGTGTCAAGGTTTTGGTATCACTCTTGAGACAGCAGATATGGCTTATCAGTACTCGAGGAGTATGCACAAAAATTGTCCGTAGCTGCGTACACTGTTTTAGGTACAAAGCAGTGCTAATGGACCAGATAATGGGTAATTTACCCGCCGATAGGGTCAAAATAGATCGCCCCTTTTAGGTTTGTGGGGTAGACTTCTGCGGTCCATTTTATGTATCATTGAAGATCCGCGGTAAACCCCCGATTAAGACTTATGCGGCCGTCTTCGTGTGTTTCTCGTCAAAGGCTGTTCACCATGAGATTGTAATAGACCTATCCACTGACAGTTTTTTATCTGCTTTTAAAAGGTTCGTCGGGAGGAGGAGGCTGCCGGAGAAAGTGTACAGCGACAACGCCAGGAATTTCGTAGGAGCGAGCAACGTGCTGCAGGAGCTGAACGCAGCGTTTCACCACAGCAAGGATCAGCTGAGAGGGTACGCGGCTCAGAGAGGCATCGAGTGGTATTTAATACCGCCGAGGTCACCACACTTCGGAGGCAGCAGTCAAGTCAACCAAGCATCGACTGCTGAGAGGGGTCGGCAACGTCAAGCTAACGGATTGAGCACCCACCTGGTCGAGGTAGAGGCGCTGCTCAATTCTCGACCAATTGCATCGCCTGGCAACGATCCCAACGATGGAGAGGCGCTGACACCAGGACACCTGCTGATCGGTCAGGCTCTTCTTTCGCTGCCGCACGAGTCCGGGACAGGCGCAATCTCCAGCAAGGCCGGATGCGAGTACTTGAGGCGGTGGCGAATGCTGTCCGCTCTCAAGCAGCAGTTTTGGGGCAGCCGGTCCAAGGACTACCTCGTCAGCCTCTAGCAGCGCAACAAGTGGAGCACCGGATGCAGCGATTTGGAGGTCGGACGCTTGGTGCTCGTACACGAGGACAACTCGCCCCCACAACGTTGGCTAAGAGGGCGCGTGGTGGCAACACAAGTCGGCGGGGACGGTAAAGTGCGCTGCTTGTGTAAACTAGTAGCCGATTAACCTTTGGAACTGCTGGCTGCGCCAGCGCAATAAAACTTTCGTGCGACTGCAGTTCTTTTCATCTTCTTTTTCTTTGCCTTTGAGTGGAAATTCCCCAGCTAGGCCGCTAATTGCTAGTCGCCTAATTTGTCGATTTATTTGTCTGGAAAACCCTGAAGTATGGTCTCTTTATTATCCTCTTCCTATGTTCACTCTTTCGCAAGCCATCAAACTTAATAAACGTATGTCGCTGAAGCTCAAGTCTGGTGTTCTCCTTTTCTAACACGTTGGTCGTGATAGCGCGTGTGTCGCGTACGGTATTGCTCACCTATTAAGCCCTTTATATTTATCCACGAACATAACCCCCAACATAAGTTATGGGTCAAGTGAAATTCGCAATTAAATAAAGTGGCTTAATACAAACATGAGTATGTACCAAATAGAAAAGTTGTGCGAGAGCAACTACGATGCCTGGTGTGTGCAAATGAGAAGCGTTCTCGTGCACCAAGCCCTTTGGAATTTCGTAAACGGGAAAACTGTAAAAGTCGAAGGCAATGCAGAACTAACAGCCAAGTGGGAAGCGGACGACGAAAAAGCATTGGCGTGTATTATTTTGAATGTGAAATCATTGCAGCTCAACTATATAAAAAACGCAAAGACCTCCCAAGAGGCATGGAATATTCTTCGGGATGTTTACGTCACCAACGGGCCAATCTGTAAAGTTAGTCTTTACAAGAAGCTACTGAACACAAAAAAGCCGGCAAATTGCAGTATGTCGAAAATTTCTAAATTCGTTCGTCGCAGTGGTAGATAAACTAGCAGAAGTAAACATTGAATTGAGTGAGGAATTAAAAGTGATAATATTGTTGTCCAGTTTAAGTGCCGGTTTCGAACATTTCATAGTTGCCATGGAAACGCGTGATTCGTTGCCGTCTTTTGAAGTTATCAAGGTCAAGCTTCTGGAAGAAGCCGAAAGAATAGAGCAGAAAACCGAAGAAAACGAGCAACAACAAGCCTTCTATTCAGGCGGCAACAGTGTAGCTGCAAAGAACGGACAAAAAGGTGCGAAGCAAAGTAAGAAACAATTGACGGTAAATGTTTCAAATGCGAAAAACGCGGGCACAGAGCAGCGCAATGCAGATCGCGAAGAGGCAACGAAGACGAAAGAACGGATCAAAGTGAACAGAAAATTTCGTATTCCGTTTCTTCGGCAATGCACAAAGCAACGGTATCGGAAAGCGCTTGGTGTCCGGACAGTGGGGCAACTTCTCACATGTGTAAACAAAAAGATTTGTTTGTTTCGTTTGTCGAAATCAACGACAAAAACATGTTGGCAGCTAATAATTTTATCAAATCAACTGGCAGAGGCACAGTGATCATAAAAACTGGTGAAAGAATGATAAAATTAAAGGATGTACTGTATGTACCATCGCTGCAAATTAACTTTATTTCTGTGGGCAAAGCAATGAGTTATGGACACTGTGTGCAGTTTAAAAAGAAGGAAGCAATAGTAAAAGACAAAAACAATGTTTTGTTGCTGCGGGCGAAAATGAAAGACTGGCTATTCATTTTTGCTGATAATAAGAAACATTCGTTGTTTCTAATGAATAAAAAAGATTAAATTTGGCATAATCGGTATGGCCATCTCAATTACAGAAGCCTGAAAGAATTGGTCAACAAAAACATTGTGATCGGGTTTGATGTGAAAGACATAACGGAAATAAACTGCGAAACGTTTAATAAATGCAAAATTAGTGCGACTCCATTTCCAAAAAACTCAATAAGCCGTGCGTCGGAAGTTTTGGAAATAATTCATACGGACATATGCGGTCCTATGAACGTGCCGTCGGTCGGTGGAGCAAGATATTTTATTACTTTTACAGACGACAAGTCTGAAATCAAAGGACCAAGCATTCGAATCATTTAAAGCGTTTAAGATCTTGGTCGAGTGTCAAACCGGAAAGAAAATAAAATGTGATAACGGAAGAGAGTATAAAAACAAACAGTTTGACGATTTTTTGAGCGATTGTGACATTAAAAGACAGTTAACGGTGCCGTATACTCCGGAACAGAACGGTGTTTCCGAGAGGGATGTAGATGTTAGTGAATCGCTGTGGGCCGAAGCAGTATCGACTGCTGCATATCTTCGAAACCGAAGCCCTACCAACGCGCTAAAAGAACAACAATGGAGGCATGGAGCGGCAGGAAACCAACTGTGAGCCATTCACGCACGTTTGGCTCAAAGGATTTCGCACAGGATAAGAAGAATCGCCATAAATTTCAAGCTAAAGCGGCCGAATATATTTTCGTTTGATACTCTTTAACGGCAAAAGCGTATAGGCTATACGACAAACTTCGAAGACAAGTCATCGAGAGGCGTGACGTGAAATTCGTGGAATTTGAAAATACTGTATCTAATTTCACTAATAATGAGTCTTCGACAGGTGTATTAGACTTCATCCCACAAGCAGATGACCAAATACAGGCGATTTCAGAAGAAGTAGCAGCCTGCGACAAACCCAATCCAGAAGAAGCTGCTGTTGATGAAGAACAAGCTAAAGAGCAAGAATCTGAAGAGGATTCATCTGAAGAAGAAGAGGCAGGAGTTCGTCGAGGACCGGGCAGACCTAGGCTGGTGCGCTCTAGACAAAGAGGACGACCCCGAAAAGACTTTAATATGCTGAAGAATATCGCCGCTAGCACCGACATAGATACACCCATTACTGTAAAACAGGCGCTTTTGAGCAAACATTCGCTTGAGTGGGAGAATTCGATGAAGCGTGAGTACAAGGCTCTTCTCGATAACGAAACGGGGACGTTGGTCGACCTCCCGCCGAGTGCCAAAGCCATTGGATCGATGTGGGTTTTTCGCATCAAACGCGATGACCAGGGCAATGTATAGAGATTCAAGTCAAGGCTGGTCGCCAAGGGATGCAGCCAGCAGTTCGGTGTTAACTACATTGATACGTTGTCGCCAGTCATACGGTATAAAAACATCCGTTTAATCTTTGCTATAGCGGCAGAAAAAGGGTTGCATTTACATCAGATGGACGTCACAAATGCATATTTAAACGGCAAGCTTGGCGAAAACGAAGTCATTTTCATGAAGCAACCGGAGCACTTCATAGATGCAAAAAAGCCAAATGCCGTATTGAAACTCAACAAGGCCATCTAGGGGCTTAAGCAATCCGGCAGAATTTGGAACGAAACAATCGATAAAGCATTAAAGGACTTAGGATTTGTGCAGTCTGATTTTGAAAAATGCCTTTATATGAAAATCAATGCTAATTCTTATAATCGTATCGCCATTTATGTAGACGACGTGATTATAGCCTGTTCCAACAAAGATGACTTGGTAAACATCAAGAAGAAGCTGCACGAAAAATTCGAGAGTCGTGAAAACGGGCCACTCCACCACTTTCTGGGTATGGAGATTCGTCGTGAGGATCCGCAGGGTACTATTTCTGTGTGTCAGAAACAGTACATTAAGAGCATACTGGAGAGGTACAACATGGGCGTATGTCGCTCTGTATCAACGCCACTGGATCTTGGATTCCAAGGAAGCTGCTTGGATGAATCTGTTCTTTTCCATCTGTTCTTTTCCCTGTCTTGTGTAGAAAGGCAGCAAAGTAGCCATGGCCTGTCAGCATCTGCGTGACGTAGTAATCCACGTCTCCGTGTTTCCTTGCAGACCATGCTACAAGGTTTGGTAGCAGCCTAGCTGTCCATCTGCCTCTCCCTTCTGCTGTCCATCTTTCCTGCCATTGTCGGAGGGTTTCCTCTCTGGTCCGCTCGGTTAGTGTCCTCATCGTGTCTCCATTTTTTCGTCTTTCGTATATCCTTATCGCGCTTTGACTAAAAGGTCGATTGGCATCGTGCCTGCAACTACTAGTGCAGCCGGACCGGATACCGGAACGTAAAGCCATCGTTCTTTGCACCTCTTGTAGAGGTTTTGTCCTGCAGGCTGTCTCAAGGGTTCCTGCCCAGATCTCGCATCCGTACAGCATGATTGCGTGGTTTATCTCCATTAGAAGCTTTCGTCTTGATGGTAATGGGCCGCCCACGTTGGCCATGTGTCTGCTAAGCGCCTTTGTAGTCTCGGTCGCTCTTTTCTTCGCCCCTTGTATGTGTGCACTAAATGTTAGTTTTGAGTCAAGTTTTACTCCTAGGTACTTTATGACCTTCTGCGTCCTAATAACGTTTTCCCCTACTCTCATATCTATTTCTAGGGAGATCCTTCTCCTGGTAGCTAAGAATAGCTCCGTTTTTTCGTCCGCAAGTTTTAGATCGTGTGAGTTCAGCCATCTTTTTACACGTATCATTACTTGCGTCAGCTTGCGTTGTGCATACTCGGTATTCCGCGCTGTTATGACTGCGTCTATGTCGTCTGCGTATCCCACGATAGTCGTGACCTTTGGGATGTCTAGGTGGAAAATTTCGTCATATCTGATGTTCCATAGCTCTGGTCCAAGTATTGATCCTTGTGCGGCTCCTGAGTTTATCTGCATGCATTTCTCCCCTGCTTTTGTTTGATACAGTAGTCGTCGGTTGTCAAGATAGTCCTGTATTATCCGCGTCAGGTATCCTGGGATTTGGAATCGTCTTTTCAGAGCATCAATTATGTTGTCCCATCTAACGCTGTTGAAGGCGTTTTTAACGTCCAGAGTGGCCAGGAGCACTACCGGTCTCGAGAAGTTGTTGCCCTGTTGGCTGCTGAGAGCTTGTTTCACGACTTCTTGGATTGCGCCAATGGTCGATCTTCCTGGTCTAAACCCATACTGCCTCGGGGAAAGACCCCCACCTCTTTCGAGTAGTGGAGTAGTCCTTGCTATGCTATTTGTATGGGCGGGAAA